GGCCACCCGCAAAGCTGCTCTGTGTGTGTTAGTTGAATCGCGTTGCCACGATGTGGCCACAGTGTTGGGCATGTAAAGGATTGTGGGTGTGCCATTGCATTGTTCGTATATTTGCTCGATTTAAAAGGCGCGTTTATTCTAATTAATCGGCAGCCACGGGAGTACTGTTCGGACCTTGTCATGGATCCTACGTTTTCTTGCCATTGAACGGGGCTCCTAATTCAGGTGTTTGTGGAGTCGACTCAGCTGCCAATTCTCATCAAGAAAACTGCCGATAGAAGAATCAGCGTGGAAGAGTGGCGATTTCAGAACGGGGCTTGTTTTTGCTGCCAGGAACATTGTTTATGGCACAGTATATCTTTGTCTACTACTATTTTTTCTAAATATATTGTGAAACTCGATAAATGATTTGAAGTTTTCGTGACTGCAGGGATCCATACTCTTTGGTTCTTTCGGTAAAGTCACGTAGGTATAAAATTTATTTTATTTAAAATTTGTATTTTATTTTATACCTACGTGACTTTACCGAAAGAACCAACGAGTATTGATCAATTATCTTTTCAACGAACCGGCAGATTCCAAAGAACACAGGATGAGATGTTACTATCCTTTGTGCAAGCACTTCCAAGAGTTCATGAACAGTGAGCCTGGTGAAATTTGGGGAGCGCATCGTCAGTAGTGACCCTTTGGTTCCTAGGGTGTTTCGGCCTTTCATACTATACACCCTCCCCAAAGGCGGCCCATTCCCAATTAGTCATAGGAGTTGCCTTGTTGTTGGTAGCCAACATCCCATGGGACTATGCATGGCAGGGGCGTCCTCCTCCCTGAGTCAAGCATTGTTGACTGCATACCTCCTGGCCCTCTCACTTTGGGGCCCAGCTGGGGTCTTTCCTCTTCATCCAGAGCCACTGACTGCAGACTCCACTGTGTCTATCTTACGCTAATTGCGTTACTATAATATGCCAATTGCATATATATTTTATAAATGTATAGTTTGGGACATAGCAGACTACTGATATCGATGATCCGACGGTAATAATTACCAGGGCTTAACTTCAGCCTGGTCTATCCGAGTCGGAAAACTGGAAAATATTTCCAGACGCATCACCCCAAATCCACAACATCTCTCTCTCTCTCGCCACGGCCGTGGTTACTCGTTACGTGCTCACTCCAGTCTACCAGCGACTCTCAACATCGTCAGTGATCCATTAACTCCCGATGATGACAATGAAGCAATTAATCAATGCGATGTTGTTAAAAGATACTCAATTGTCTGAAAACATCTGAACATATAGAGAGCCGCAGAGCTTGGGCAATTGTTGGCGCAGGCTCACTCGTTCTGTGGTTCCTCGCGCTTGCGTGGCGTTGTGGGATGTAGTTTACATGTCCTTAAGGGACGTAAAAAAACCTAAACCTTATTCACGAACAACACAAATAAACATATATGGGGCCGTCCATAAATGACGTCACGCACCTGGGGGGGGTCAGACATTTGTGACGATGTGTGACGAAGGGGGGGGGGGGGGGGTTGAGAAATGTGACGTCACATCAAAATGCGCAACTTTAAATATAGATTTGTTATAACAACACTAATTGTGATAACAACACTCCTACAACATCAGAGTGCAGCGCCACATTAAATACGCACTACAATGACAATAGTTTAAAGCGATTTGAATCATGTTTTATTTTCTAAATGGAAATATGGTTTTGGGGGGGGGGCAGATCTTTGTGACGTCATATTTAAAGGGGGGGTCTGACTTTTTGTGACGCCGTGTGACGGGGGTCAAAAATCGTTCAAAACCGCGTGACGTCATTTATGGACGGCCCCTTTGCTGTGTGTGTGGCGGTGGTGACCTCAGACTGCACGGGGCTGCACATCGAAGCGTCTCCACATGGCCCCTTCGTGGCCAGCACGTCCGTCAACCTCACCTGCCGGCTTCCCCGGCACGTCTCGTCTGCACCCCCCGTGCGCTGGACCTTCTTCACGCTGGGGAAGGGCGCAGACGAGCAGCACGGAGAGGTGGTGACGGCCAGCATGGAAGGGCTGTGGACCTGCACCGTCGGGGACCGCGACACCCACTTCTGCCTCAGCAAATCGAGTCAGCCCCTTTGCACAGTGGACACTTTTGTTCGACTTGCATCCCACTGGGATTTGTGCGCACAGCGTTGGAATGCGGTGTTTTTCTGCAAGGCTTTGCTGATTTTTTCCATTGCGTGTAGTCACTTTAAGATGTTTCTTGTTCATGGTTTTGTTGCGTTTGCACCTGAGTCAAGAGCCGCATGGCTCACAGGGTTATACCTCATAAATGAAAAACTGAAACTGTTCGTCGCCGCGCTTACGCCAATGCACGCCTCTGCGAGCAGTGCGAGCCGACACGGTGTGGCCTTGGTCTCCATGTCGTGCCATGCTCAGCTTCTGCGTCGAGGTTTTCAGTAATCAAGGTGACACCTTGGCCGATACAGTTGACCCACCCGAGTCGCCAAATTAAGATCAATTTGTGACGCAACTTCCATCACGGACCTCCACTTAGGCTTGCTTCACACCTCCGATTAGCGTGGTTGGCTACGTACGGTGCGAAAGAAGTTCAACATACGCACATACAAGAGGTCATCTCATCGAGATGCTCGGAAAGATACTCGCGAGCCGCTGTCTGCGTGCTGTGTTTACCGAGATGATGAATTGCTCGATTCAAGCCACCACGTGTGTGCAATATCCATAGCAGGTGTCACGTGGCGAACACTGTGCACGTGGATTCACAGCGCTCTCTGTCCAGGCTCGTCCACGATGAATGGCTGGTGGTGCAACGAGACCAAGCTGCTCATGAGCGAGGTCGGTCGTTCTTCCGAGAGCAGCCTCTGGACCATCTCGTCGCTCCCTATGCCCTTGCTCATCGCCGTCTGCGTGGGAGCAGCGCTGCTGCCGCTGCTGCTTCTGTCAGCAATCATTTACGCCTGCTTCATGAGTACGTGTTTCGCCGACGCTTTCTCGTTGATTTGACGGTGTTTAAAACGGCCGGGGTAGGCACACTACGTTAATTTTCACTTGAATGTAACGTCTACACGAGAACGCGTCTTGTAGTTAGACGTCAAAGGGAAACATGGGGAGTGGATGAGACCGTGGCGATGTGATGTTTAATTCGAATTGTCTTCACATTGTTTTTAGGGAAGAAAGTACTACTCTCTCCATACGCAACACAGTAAGTGTTTTCACGTGCTGTTTTTTGCTGTTTCAGTACCACACAGTGTGCTTGATATAACTCAACTCAATTTTAGACAGACATTTTCTACAAGTGTCCTGATGCACGTGTCGCCGATTGCTATGAATGTAACGCAGGTACGACTGCAAGCCACAGACAATGCTGCCTGAAAAATCAATGGCCGTACCCAACCATGTACTGGACCGTTACCAAGGTAGAGTGAATGTGTGCATTGTGAGGCAGAGTGAGAATATCTCACACAGGATACCATCTCAAATGAGCTCGTGTTCGTTTTGTTGTTTTTGCAGGAGTGGTATAAGTAGTTCGAGTGACGTGTGGTTTTGATGCCTCGTGGCAACGATGTGACGCGTGAAAGTTGGTGTGCATACATTTAGACTCAGGGTGGTGGTGTCTTGTGAAAAAAAAATCTACTCGATGAGAATGCTTGCTGCATTGTATGTAAAAAAAATATTTCAATTGAAACGTTAAATTAATGGTTAATTTTAACGTCAGCCTGAAGCCTAATGTAAAATGGCTTCAAAATAAATTATGCAATGTCACAGTGGTCTAGGCCCACTGGTAGTTTCCATCTTCGAGATAAATATATCATTTACATTTTTAAATGAATCATTTTTGACAGGAAACATTTTGGTTCACGTGGCGTGCTTTTTTCATAATATTAATGCTTTCTTTGGCACAATAAACCTAACATACGCTATTTGACAGAGTCTATGGAGGAGGACTGTGGCGAGGAATACGTGCCGATGAGTGGTCTCAGTCAAGGTGCGGTCCCCAAACGCCCAGCACTCTGCCGTCCCCCCTACAGCATCACCGCTACCCATTACCAACACCACTACAGCCATGACCACTACACCTCCACCTAACTGAGCTTTGAAATTCCAATACATCAAGCTTTGAACTGCCAAAACCACCACCACCACTACAACGTAGCAACCACAACTGCTCATACCAGCCCTCTGCAGTCCCATAAATGTTACCTGTACAGTATCTTTGAAACTCGTTTGTAAATTGTGCAATATTATTCCATAAGGACCCTGTACTTGTTCTCGACAATGTGTTTTTTTACTTTTTCTGCTGCTGTGCTCATGCACCACGCATCTCACCTTGTAAAATAGCCAGGCCGTTGGCAAAACGAGATCATGCTTTTTAGATATCAACAACTCAAAACTTCGTATATTAGTTACTAAGGTGCCAAAAACAATGAATTGTTCAATCTGTGCAATTTCACAAAACATTTGTTTTACTTCTGATGAACCAACGGCAAGTTCTGTGTCTTTGAGTGCAGGAAGTGGAACTGAGATAGAGATAGAATTGCAAGACTACGAGAACATCAGCAAGTCTGAGACGGGTAAGCGGGGACTTGTGATGCCTCACCATTTCCTTTCAGAACTCTTAAACCCCCAAGCCAACATGTAACGATGTATTTAATTGTATTATGCGAGTTAATAAGTACATGAAGGGCTGTGGCATGGCCTCGTGGCAGCTTGTTCGCTGCTTGTTGCAGAGGCTCACCTGTTCGAATCCAGCGGCCGGCCTGAAGCATATTAGGCACGGCCTGCTCCACAGTGGACATTAAAGTTACCGTGATGTCATTCACATGTGCCAGCATCTAGGTCCAGAATCATCAAATTTTAACTGCCCAGAAATTACTCAATTGGAATTATGCGTCGCAACCATCGCCGTAATACTGTGAAAACTTGACAGGATCCTCATAAAAAAGTCATGAGACTCGGTGAGGCTTTTCTGCGCAAACAAGAAACTAAAGAAATCACTAAGCAATACGGGTGAATATCAAGTTTAACAAAAGGGCAGTACAACAGCGGCTTGGCATTCTCAAAGTGTGTACAAGGTTTTTTTTCAGACACAAAACAAGGTACAGTAATAATTACACATGACAAAATACAATACACAAAGGTTATGTTGACTACATTGACTGTGCATCATGCATCAAATCAGACAATATTGAAATGGTAAATGTGGAAACTTGAGCGACTCATTAGAATATTGAGCATAGTGAATATGGAGGACTGAACTGTCAAGTAATTCCAGACATGGGACATAAGATTTCACCTTAAGCCCTGTTTTTTTACACTCTCAGGGACAGTTATTTAAAAAGCCATTCTTCCATAATCTGTACTTGAAACTGGGAATTTCTAGAGGGTTTTCAACATGTAATTGAGAAGACTTAAAAGTGGAGCAGAATGGCTTATAAACTAAGATGAGGGTCGTCCATTTACCATTCAAAAGAGCAAGCTGGACCAACGCAAAGCGAGCAGAACCCAATGGGTATCTCGAGTGTGCTTCTTCACTCCGGAATCCGTGGCCAGCATCCACTCGCATTGTTGTTGTTATTATTACTACGGCTGCGTGTCAGCAGTTACTGACAAATCATTCTTTCCGCACACATTCAAGTGACGTTCTGCTGTAGATGTAAGTGTTTGTATTTGTAGGTGCGTCTGGTCATATATGGTCTGTGTGTGGTTGTGCGTATGTTGCCAGTATCTGGAAATGCAGAAGCGCAACCTCGCAGGAATGAAGATGTCTACTTCAACGACGACCTCTATGGAGAAGTGGAATGAAGTGTTACAGAATATCCTGACAGCTTCTCTTACGTGGGCGATAAAGACAGAGATTCATTTCGAAGCGCCCGATTCATAATTTTGGCGAGACTGGCCGATGGCTTTTGTCGACACGTTCCTGAGTCAATGTCACACCAGAATCAGACCCTGCAGGTCGTTCCCAGAGATGCGATCTACATCATCATCGGCCTTGATCTATCCACTGCTGGATGAATGCATGCCCAAGATGTCGCCATCTCTCACAGTCTTGCGACAATGCAATTCGTTCCTACACACCACGAGCCAATTTCAACATTCTATCTCTACAGGATGCCATGACATTGTTATTCTTATGCTCTCAAGTTTCTCTTTAACTCATGTAAAGTGTGAAAATGTTTGAATGTTTCGAGGTGTTTTTTGTTTTTCAGATAGTTTAGTATAACTAAGAGTGCCAAACTAAGGTAATAACACTTTTCACAAATCTTCCTGTGGCCTATAAATTGTAAATACTGACCTTAACACATATTTATGCGGAACAAATTTAAAATGTAATGTTTTCTAAAAATAAATATGAATGCCTTTCATGTACTCTTAAAATGCAGCTTGTTTCTTCACAAGTTTTAACTCTATAACATCTCTTTCACATCTTAAATTCATACACAACTGCTACTTTTCAGGATGTTTACACTTCAGTTTTTTACTCTACAAACGAAATTGGGTCATCTTGGCTAACAGTGCTCATTTACGAGTGTTCTACATCTATGAAACCTCGTTAAGTGACATATTTGTGAACAGACACAACTAATCAGGCGGCACATGTGCACTCAGGGCCTGCCTGACAAGCCATGGTGTCCACCAGTTGGGAAAAGGTTGTCTCCATGTTCGTAGCTGCCACCAAAAATTTACGTCTTGCCATAGAGCACCCTGTCAAAGACACAAACACATATGTACACATGCACAAATATGCTCACAGCTGTACACACATACACAGACACAATCACATCCCATTGTAAGTCATAGAATGAAACAGGATGTCAATATTATCTTCAGATACCATTTACGATTTGCTGAAACAAAATCACAACTCAGTGCAAAGCTGACCACAGACCTACCTGACGTAGCTTTAAGTACAAGAGCGTCCTCCAGTTTAGCAATGAGTTCCTCCACTTCGTGGAAGGACCCTCTGGATTGTTGCTCTGCGCTCCGCTCCTGAGTGCAGCATTCCCAGCTGCCACCGGGATTTGGCTTTTCCACGAAAAGGTCTCGCTCGCTCGGCAGAATTTGTTTAGGAGACGATATGAGCTGCTTCCTGGGGGACTGTCTCTTATCTGTGTTCAGATCCCGTCTCTGATTAGGAGAATACATTTGTCTCGTGTCAATACAGTCACGTCATCCTTTCAATTACAAACATCTGATTAAGGCACGTTGCTCTTCTAGCAAAAATACAATTGTCGCATCTGGTTTAAATGTATGTTGCTGCTTCACATGAATTGAGGTGATGCATAGCATGAAGCAACAGTTGACCTGTTGCGTTTGTAAATTATATCGGTACTCTTAGGTTTTTTTCGGTAAAGTCACGTTGGTAAAAAAATAATAAAAATTATAATATAAATAAAATAATAAATCACGACGTTTCGGAGACAACACAAGTCTCCATCATCAGGTGGGACCGTCACAGCTAAATTTACTGTATCAAGTGAGGAAAAATACTGATACAGTAAATTTAGCTGTGACAGTCCCACCTGATGACGGAGACTTGTGTTGCCTCCGAAACGTCGTGATTTATAATTTTATTTCATTTATTATTTCTATTATTTTTATTATTTATTTTTATTTTTACCTACGTGACTTTACCGAAAAAACCCAAGAGTATGAATCCTTGCAGTCACGAAAGCTTCAAATCTAGAATTATATCGGTGTTTGTAATAAGCTGGATGGATGACGAACCTTGCTACCAAGTCGCTTATGTGAGCCACAACACTCAGACTTGTGAGGCTCAATGCTGTAGCCATGTAAGGCAGAACACGCATGTGGTTGCTGCTGGTGGCTGCCTGTTTCGCTGGGGCAATGCCGAGAGGTAGCAGGAACAACGGAGGTAGGATGAACCAGGGTATCTTCACCAGATCTGGCCACTACTGCACTGAACACAACGCTCTCCCTGGCCGCCACAGCCAGACGTTGCTTCCCTTTGCTGGCGTGCCCCTGGAAACAGAGATACGTTTCTGCGTTTGAAGCTGGAAATAATGGTGAGCGGCACGAAATGTACGTTACGTTAAACTCATCTTGAGCCTACTCCTCAGCCGCACAGGTTGCAGGTGCTGCCTGCAAAGTAATCTTCTTATGTTTACGTTGAAAAATTAAACAGGTGATTTACTTAATCGTCAACGTGGTCTTCTTTTTAACAGTGGCATGCGGGGTAGCTTTTCATAGCTTTAAAATGTAAAACTGTAAACATAACCATCGCCAAACATGTCATTAGCTCTTATAGCTCTTTCTGCTGTTGCAGAGCTTATATTGCTTCATTTACTGTACTGCGTCCTTTTTGATGAAAAGCAACTGGCAGGGTACCGTTTGCAGTGCAGGGTGGCGTGCGATGACGCCCTTCGCCTTGTGGTGTGCATTGTGGCCGAGCACTGGACGCTGCCGTGTGCACTCTTGTGTGGGTCGAGGTCTGGGACTCATCTCTCGCCGTCCTTCCTGAAGCTCCACCTTGGCCAACACTTCTGCAGACACAGAATGCGCCTGGCCCAGCGGCAGAGTGTAAAACACCAGTACATAAGCGGTCGCTTCACATGCAGTGCGTGGGCGTTGGCTCAAATAGCGAGATAAACCTTCAGCAATCTACTATGGACAGTAGTTCAAAGTTGACTTCAACTCAACACCAAACTGCAGGCACGATAGGTGCTATTTCTGTGTGCATTTAGATCTAAAACAATTCTAAACTATGGTTGCAATTAATGAGAAAGTATGAGTGTTTTAACTTATCGGAAAGAGGTCCCCGTTTAACACTTAAATTGTACACAGCACAGATGTAATATATTATACTCATGATAATGTGCAGGCCTTTAGAAATGCATTGCTCTACTGCTAGATTAAGGCTTCCCCATGCCTTGTCAGTTATGGGGATTACATATTCTTTGGGTCTTTCGGTAAAGTCACGGAGATAGGTTCAAAGAAAATAACAAAAAACTATGAAGTTTCGATCGCAACACAAGCGGTCGTCTTCAGGAGAAAAAAAAAGACGACCGCTTGTATTGTGATCGAAACGTCGCAGTTTTTTGTTATTTTCTTTGAACCTATCTACGTGACTTTACCGAAAGACCCAAAGAATATGAATTCCTACAGTCACAAAAGCTTTAATTCAAGAGATATGTGGATTGTTTGATAAAGGCTTCACCACGCTGTTGGGTTAGCAATGGTGGGGCCCAGGACCACTGATGTTGGTCATGGCTGGAAGTCAAATGTAAGTCGCTGGGTCCACAGTACAGTGCGCCAACTCCTGCGCCACCACTCCATACGATATAATACTCTTACATGTGGCATCGTCGGTGTGCAAGCTCCTTAAGTCGTCCTGGCCTGGCCTTACCTGCTGCTGGAGTGGCTCAGAGCCGTGCCTGTTCAGGGGGAGGCCCCCGGCCGCCCTGTAGGGGGACCCTGCCGAGGGGTCCATGCAGTGGCCACGAGAAGGGGCCACTGCCACCTCGCCAGTCGCACTGCATAGGGAGGAGTGGGCGTCGTTCACGCGATGACAAGTTCTAAAATATGTCTGTAAGTGGCCTTATTGGTAGTCCTACCCATTTTAAAAATTAACCAAATATTAATGCACTCTTGAACACAATCTAAAGTGGTGAAACTGCACGGGCACTACTGAGAATTTGGTCAGTAAACATAAAACTACTTTTTAAGCATAATTCTTAGCCACTGCATAAATATGTACAAGTATAAAACAAAGTTGTTTTGGAACGTGTTGTATAAATACCAAAGGTACTCTATTAATAGTTTAGGGTGGTTTTTCCACGGTATTTAATGTAATTACAACCATATTCATACAATCAATTCGCTGTAGTAATATAGAGTTACAGAATAAATCATGATACTACCAAACCGGCATGTGAAATCAAACACACTGCGATTTAAGGCACACTGCACAGAAGCCAAATGTGTATTTACACTACTATGCAAAATATACCATGTGCATATCAAGGTACATGCAGTACAAGCACAGCAAATTGTATGCCAGAGGCTTAGTCACGCACACCGACTGAGATGGTCCTGCGCTGAGTGGAGAGGACGGGCAGAGGCGAGCACGTCTCCACGCCTCCTTCGTGCGACAGCGCTCGCCTAGAACAATGTTCCTCACCTTCCTCAGGCACAGCCGAACGTCACTCCACACTCCACCCTGCGTGCCAACAGCACACCCTGCGTGTACTCATCGCGTACATGCACAGCCCTTTTGGCTACTGCCTGACCGGGGTTCTCTCACACCATGCGGGCAATGGGAGTTATTTGACCATACCTGTCAGCTGGTGACATTTTCTCAAATTAATTTCAGTCCAGAACGTTACAACAATATATAAAAAACGATAAGAGTGAAAAGTAAAGGAAAGGTAAACATATCACTGAATTAAATATGCAAACAAAACTACAAAAATGTATCTTACGAGGTATAGCCCACTGAGCTATTAGTTTCTTTTTCAGAAGTGACCTAGCCACAAATGATAGCTCAACGAAGTTGCCTATCATGTGCAAATTTATAGCAACAAACTTATCTAAATAATCTAAACGCATTTTGATGGTGACCGAAGCAGTTCTTCAGAGACTGATGATGGATTTTGCATAATACACAGAGGCCAAGTGCTTTTTGTACACATTTATGCGTGTTGTTTGAAACTCATGGTTTTCCAGCCTACACTACGTTTCTGTTATGATGGGTTTTTCTCATCATATACAGATTTTTAATTGTGGAGTACATCTATGGCCTGACCGAGGTGCAGCTCTCCATGACGGGATGCGAGGGCGCATGCCACCCAGTGTCCCGCCCAGTCAGGAAACAGTTCTGGCACAAGTCCAAGTTCCAGCAGCACAAACAGCAGAACCTGGCAATGACAGAGGTCAGTGCACATTAATTATCATCATCAGAATATTACTGCTTGCGTATGGTGTGAAAGCTGGTTACATGGCTGTGTATGGTAGCGTGTGGCTGAAAGTTAGCCTGTAAAAATAAACAATTTCCAACAAATCATTTCATACGCTTGCACTGTTGAAAAGCATTCGTACAATCAAGTAATGGACACAAAGTGGTAGGGGAAATCAGGCTTTGTGACTGTGGTGTTACTCTTGTATTTGTATGCATCAGGCACCTGAGACCCACAATTGGGCAAGTTTTGCAAATGTTACACTTGGCCTCATGAATGCTCCCCGCAGCCTTCATCATCCGGTACATTGCAGGCAACCAGAGGAAGAGCTGCGGCTCAGAGAGGCACCACCCTAAAAACTGAGATTCTGTGATGCTGCCGACAGACTCCTGTGTGACAAACCACACAGGCACAGCAGGTTACTCACACATCATACGCCTGTCACAGATCCTCATAGCAGCATAAGCACACAGCTGTTGAGCTCTATATGTCTATGCATAAACTGCATTCTGCACATAGTTTATCTTGTAGATTGTATGCCTCATGCACATAGGAATTCAATATGCTCAGGGTTCCGTGGCTAATGGGTCGGTTTTATGGACGGAAAGTTAAACCTTGAAATGTTTGAATGGTAACTCACGGCATGGAAGAGGCTGGTCACCGCCATTTCAGCCGTCCCAAACGCACACCCCTCCCCCAGCAGTGCCAACAGCTGTGAAGCATGCACAAAGCATTCCGGGACTAAAAAAACAAATCCATTACCCTTTCCTGTTCAAGAGCCATATAGACTGTTAAGGATATGGACGTTAAACAAACATTACATGTTCAACTCATTTTCACATGCACACTCTACGCAGCCGCCACTTAAGTATACATTTCAACAGTATGCCGATATATAGATGAATGAATTGAACAATGAATGTGTATTATTATCATGGGAATAAACTTATCTCGTGCTATTTTTAATGTGCATAGTTTAAGGTTTATCAACTGACATCATAAGTTATATTTAAATTGGCAAACAGGAGGAGTCCATTATGTATGATGCCGCATAAAATTCACATAAAATATTATTCTTCAGTTACTTGTGGAACAAATATTGTACGTTGTCTCTATCCATGCAGCACCTGGATAGTGTCCTGTAGGAAGGTCCTGACAGCGGACTTGCTCACTCCAGCCGCAACATCTCTCTTGCCCTGATGGTTGTGCAGCATGGCCCAATAAAGAGCTATAAGACAATAAATAAATGCTCCTTCAAGTGCGTTTCGTGGTTCACAAAAATGTTTTCAAATGGTTCTCAAATTACCATCCAATTTACCTTAGAGGTGCAGATGTAGTATCCCTACTGCTTGATACAGAATATTACAGTATTAACAATGCTCCGATTGCATGAAATATATCCTTATGCTACCGATGACTATGACAGCTACTTTTAACCTATACCTTTGGACTCAAAAGTACAGAAAGGTTATTGTATGGAATACCTATAGCATTATAATGTGAAAGTACTGCAGATATTAGTGTGGGATTGAGCCGACGAAATTAATTTCTCTGTAGTCTGTCAAGACAAACTCAAACTTTTTACAGAGCAAAGGCACACAGCACCACCTCTGTATTTGTGAGTCAGCTGCCCGGTGGAGAGGAGCAGCAGGGCATTCCACATGGAGCGGGGAGACACCTGGCCACTCCGCTCACTTCAAAACCACAGCACAGTCAACAGGCCGGTGAAAGTCTGTGAGGAATTACTCATTTGCTCTTATAACTTGGTCAGAAGGAGAAATCCAACTTGTAATTTTTCAAAATGAAAGCGTTCTTACTATATTGGTATTTACAGAGCATTAATAAAATGTGTAGTCGCTGTAACATTCAGCGCCGTACGCCCTCACCTGTCACATATGGCAAGTAGGAGGTTGAGGGTGAGCTCGCTCGCAAGTTCCCCATCAACATGCGGCATGGGCTGCTCTCTGCTGGCCATGCCGGTGCACTTGCCGCAGTAGTTGGTACACTTGCCGGACATTCAGCTCGCTCTCCCAGTCCACGGCGGAGGAATTGAACACCGTTAGGATTGTGGACACGCTCACCAGATGCACTGCAATACACGTAGAATATAAAGCCAATTTTCACGACCCGGTGACTTGTTTGTTTATTGCATTTGAACTAAGGAAAATTTTAGAGAAACAGTGGCGTACAAGTTCATATTTAGCTATGACAAATTTTGGATATGGGGTATTACATGTGACCATGAGTGAGACTGAATGGACATTTTCTTGATTTTTAGGACTTATTCACAACTGTTTAATGATAACCATTGTGACATTTTACATAGTGATCAAAACTCAATCAAATGTTTTGTGCAATCGAAGAGACAGCAGAAAATACCACTTATTATAATTGCAATTATCTAAAATTATGTGAACCTCAATAAAATATTTATAAGTTATTCATGGGAGCTATATATTTTGATAAAGAAAATGCCTACATTTTAAATAGATACGAGTATAAAGACTACATCACTGTTTGAGACAAGCATGTTCAAATGGACAAACGTTTTGGTCTGTTATGTCTAGTTCAGCACTTTGAATTTAGCCTCAATTTTCAGTTCAATATTTAAAACTAAATTATTCATGGAACTGAAGACATGACCTGCTGAGACATGTCGAGTTATCTAATTTCCCTCATTAAGGCACCTCTCTTGAAACTTCATTATTGCACTGCCATTTGGCAACACTATGCATTGTAAATTTGAAAATTTATTATATTTATCAATGTTTACCTGAAAAATGGCATGCATTGCTTAAGGATGTTATAAATATTACATAATGTGGCTATTTGTGCTATGCATTGGAATATCCCAGATATCATGTTTAAGTCTTTAACATTCTCATACATTTCTACTTTGTAGCACTGAAGCACTGCTGTCTACCCGTAACCCAACTCACACTATTAAGCGAAGGAACATTTTTATGAGATGACACATTTTACAGTTTTGGCAAAGAGACAGCAAATGCGGTGCAAAGATACTCACAGCAGCAGAATTTCTGCAGTGCCAGCAATTTTGCGGCCGTCCTGTACACAGCATAGCGGATTACGTTCAGCTGTTCTGTAAGTAGAAGACGCAGCAACTAAGCATCAACAGACTGTGGGCCCATCTAACTACGGGAGTATAGCTGGTGTAAGAATGGTATCGAATAGGCGGTGTGTCGGTATCCTCCTTTTGCTGAATGCATACATTCAGTTTGGATATCTATTCAATTTCTCGCTCACATGAAATACTTTGATGTACTGTTTTTGTCTTGGTCATGTGTGTATATCAACATAAGCAAAAACAGGCTTTAGAACTCCCACAAGACTCGTGCAAGTTTTAATTGCAAGTCCGGTCTGATACTAAGAAAGCACTTATCAGGCAACTAAAACAATGTACTGTATAGCAGAGTGACTTTCTGCCTCTGTGGCAAGAATGTAACTCCATTGAGAGGAAAGGGCACATAGGGACACCATGGTGGCGAGACGTTAACTACCTTGCCTGGTATACAGAAGGTTGTGGGCGATCCTGACCATGATGCCTGTATATTTGGAGTTTCTCCGTGTGGTCGTGTGGATTTTTGTCCGGGTTCTCCGGTTTTTCCCTCCACATTTAGAAACATGCGTTGAGAGTATTTTGTGCTACGACTTTGCACATGATAAGCTACTTCGTTGAGCTATCATTTGTGCGCAGGTCGCTTCTAAAAATAGCTCTATAACTCAGTGGGTCTCATTTGGTAAAATAAAAAAGTTAAATAGCTCTGGAAAGTTAAATCTTTGTGAGGCCAAGTAAAAAAACTTATTTTAAACAAACGTGCCCAATTAAATTCTCAACTGATGTACAGATGTATATCCTGCTTTCTATTCTCTCGAATTTGAAGAAGTGAGTCCATTTCTTACCCAAGTCTCCAAGAGCCCCCTGCAAAGAAGGGTGGAACCAGTGAATCTGACCACTCGCCCCACTGCCCCTTCTGCCAACATAAAAGCAAGCAGCAAGGAAAACAGCATCACGGTTAATGACCGTCACGGTTTCGAATAAAGGTTACATGCCAAATATAAGTTGATTGTTGCACTCTACCGAAATAGGGTTTATATATCGGGTTTATAATGATAATGCCAGAAGCCAATAGCCACTTACTGCACGTAGTATGGGACTCCCCTGTCTGTCTCCATCGTCTTCCACGGCCCATCGCTGTCACCGTGCCAGGCTAGAAAGCAAGGTAAATACAGCAACAGAATCTCATAGCAAAACAACAAAAGTCCCCTTTATCAAGGAAAGCCATAGTGATAACTCTTTATCAGTAAGGGTTCTGCAATGGGATTTTTGCTCAATTCCATTCATGGTTATTTCACATGTGGGAGGAAACCAGAATGAATAACTGGTGTAATGCTCCAACATAAAAAGCTCTGGCAGAATTGGATTCAAGAATCCTTTGCTAGACTGCCATCTCCTGAAAGCTCATAAGGGAAACCTTGTATTCGTTTCAGTTCAGTTTCAGCACTGCCACTGCAAGTGTCACTGGGTACAGCAGTTGTTATGCAATTACGCAGTTACATTTTGTCCCGTGATAACTTCTGCAGCACTGAAATTTACTCGTGAGGAATGCAACACAATGCTGTATGCCAAAGTGTGTAACACTGCTACAGTATGTACGCTGTAGTACTATTAAATCACTAATGTTTGTAAACAGCACACAATGTGTAGTTTAATATGCTGTACATAATTATCAAACCAATGTTTATTACTAATTCCATCGGTTCGTTTTTTGCATACTGTATTATATATTGCACCTAAAAATTGCAGCCTAAGCCATTTGTTTATCCATAATTATTATAGTCTGAATTATAATTTCTAATTAAAGCTTGCACTTAATATAACACACTGCCTGTATAATGAATCAACAGGGTACGTGTGTGCTGTACCAACAATACTGCATGTGTTCCTTGTACGGAAACACTATACAGTACGTTACACTTGGCAGAAAGTAAACATGTCAAAGGCTCAAGTTATTGCTCTGCAGACTGAAGTATACAATGATCTATGTGTTACCCTTGGAATGCCAGATAAAATATCAGGCTTACGTGAATGTAGTGTTGCACATTAGTGGCACCAAACCTGATACCTCTCATGGCGACGACTCTTGTCGGTAGCGTCCAGCTTTAATGATGGCCAAGCCAAGTTGACAACATCGTTAAGTAGGCTTACACACCGACGAGACCTGGTATGTCAAAAGGTAGATATTAATGACAGATATTTTATGTAAGTCACTGGAGATAAGTGCTAACTGCCATCACGAGGTGAAAGCACCAGCAACTAAAAGTACACCAGCATAGAAATATACCACAATTGTGACTACAATATTGATAGTCCCAATTTGAAATACTGTACTGTAATTGTTGAAATATTCTTCTTGGTTCTTTCGGTAAAGTCACGTAGAATGGAAATAATAAAATAATAAAAAATAAAGCATATTAATATTCTATTATTTTATTATGTTTTATTTTTATTATTTTATTATTTCCATTCTACGTGACTTTACCGAAAGAACCAAGACGATGAATCCCTGCAGTCACGAAAGCTTTAAATTGAAATGTTGAAATATTAACAATGGAAATGTATAAATGCATTAGTATTGTATATTAAGAATGTAACTTCAGAACATGTGACACTATTAAGCATAATATATCAATTTCCTCAACGACATTCTCATTGATTTTGACACAATAATTTGTTACATTACCAATTTATCATTTGACAGTCAGAGGTAATGAGTTTTACAAATCAACAGAGCATGCAACGAAAAGACATATTATGTAAGCAAGGTGCAGAAATGTACGGTATTAGGAATTATTAAAATTAAACACGTATAAGAATCACATTGTATGTCACGTACAAGAATCAATGTCACGTATAAGAAACACATTGTGTGTTATGTATAATAATCATTGTTATGTATAGAATCACATTGTATGTTATGTATAAGAATCATTGTCACGTACAAGAATCACATTGTATGTCATGTATAAGAATCATTGTTATGTATAGAATCACATTGTATGTTATGTATAAGAATCATTATGTCACGTACAAGAATCACATTGTGTGTTACGTACAAGAATCACATTGTATGTTATGTACAAGAATCACATTGTATGTTATGTACAAGAATCACGTTGTATGTTATGTATAAGAATCACATTGTATGTTATGTATAAGAATCACATTGTATGTTATGTATAAGAATCACATTGTATGCTATGTATAAGAATCACATTGTATGTTATGTATAAGAAGCACATTGTATGTTATGTATAAGAATCACATTGTATGTTATGTATAAGAATCACATTGTATGTTATGTATAAGAAGCACATTGTATGTTATGTATAAGAATCACATTGTATGCTATGTATAAGAATCACATTGTATGTTATGTATAAGAATCACAATGTTATGTATAAGAATCACATTGTATGTTATGCATAAGAATCACATTGTATGCTATGTATAAGAATCACATTGTATGTTATGTATAAGAATCACAATGTTATGTATAAGAATCACATTGTATGCTATGTATAAGAATCACAATGTTATGTATAAGAATCACAATGTTATGTATAAGAATCACAATGTTATGTATAAGAATCACATTGTATGTTATGTATAAGAATAACATTGTATGTTATGTATAAGAATCACAATGCTATGTATAAGAATCACAATGTTATGTATAAGAATCACAATGCTATGTATAAGAATCACATTGTATGTTATGTATAAGAATCACAATGCTATGTATAAGAATCACAATGTTATGTATAAGAATCACAATGCTATGTATAAGAATCACAATGTTATGTATAAGAATCACAATGCTATGTATAAGAATCACAATGCTATGTATAAGAATCACAATGTTATGTATAAGAATCACAATGCTATGTATAAGAATCACAATGCTATGTATAAGAATCACAATGCTATGTATAAGAATCACATTGTATGTTATGTATAAGAATCACATTGTATGTTATGTATAAGAATCACATTGTATGTTATGTATAAGAATCACATTGTATGTTATGTATAAGAATCACATTGTATGTTATGTATAAGAATCACGTTGTGAAAGGCCGCGGCCACCATCGACGAGCCTGTGGAAAGGGGGCGGGGCGAGCCGGGCCTCGTCGCCATGGCGACGACCGCGCCGCGTCGCCATGGCGACCGCGTGGGGCGCGCGCCGGGCAACAGGCGAAGAAGTTTCGCGCCATTCTTCGAGCTCCGGTTCGTGTCGCGGTAATTGTCAACTTGTAACAACATTTTTTTAAAAATTCCCACTAAACTCCTTCACCAGAATTACGATTCATTGTTTACGCGTGCGAGACGAGGCGCGCGATTTCGCTGAGCGGCGAGCGAGGCGCCTTCAGCAACGTACAGTGCGAGTGATGCGTTCTACGGAGTGGTCCACATGTCCTGTGACTCCCAATTAAATGACCACAAACATTGACTCTTTTTTCCCTTTCGCATATTTACTTGATGTGTTAAATGAACCTTATTTTTTTTACTTATACGTATAAATCTTCAGTTTTAGAGTGTTACATCTGGACCACCCTGTAGTGCACAGCGAGCAATAGGTAAGGATACGGCAACGTGTTATGTGTTTCTGAGGACGCGATAATTTAATGTGGATATTACCGAGGATATCGCTGATATAGAGACATTGTTTAGATACACGACAGCTGAGGATACATCCACAGCTAATAAATATCATTATTAGTCACTGAGGACACAGCCTTGACGGAACAATGAAAGCAGCAAAGATACAGACCGCCAGCAACGCGGGATACATCACCCACAGCGATGTTCAATTCCACCGAATTGAGATTAGAGCAGTGGTATAAAACAATGTTTGTGTCTATTTGTGTTTCTCGCTTGTGATGGGACTTTGTAGGATGAACGTTGAGATCTATCAGGGCACGGGGTGACCAGTAAGGTCTGAATTGTTTTGTAATAAGGTAGACACTGATAAGGGGTTGACAGGTATGAATAAGGTAGACACTGATAAGGGGTGTCATCTGGTCCAACACCAATGGAGACTAGGCTCTAATGAAAGCTGTCTCGGGTGTGGACTAATCAACTTCAAGGACAGTGATATTATTATCATCATCAGAGTTGTTTCTTTTTGTTTGCATTTTGACTACTTGTGTTGTGGTTATTGCAAACATGATGCCTTGTATAAAGGTGTCAGTTTTGTACCAGTTTAAAGGGTAAAAACCTACTACTAAGGTAGACACTGATAAGGGGTTGACAGGTATGAATAAGGTAGTCACTGATAAGGGGTTGACAGGTATGATTAAGGTAGACACTGATAAGGGGTTGACAGGTATGAATAAGGTAGTCACTGATAAGGGGTTGACAGGTATGAATAAGGTGGACACTGATAAGGGGTTGACAGGTATGAATAAGGTAGTCACTGATAAGGAGTTGACAGGTATGAATAAAGTAGTCACTGATAAGGGGTTGACAGGTATTAATAAGGTAGTCACTGATAAGGAGTTGACAGGTATGAATAAGGTGGACACTGATAAGGGGTTGACAGGTGTGAATAAGGTAGTCACTGATAAGGGGTTGACAGGTATGAACAAGGTAGTCACTGATAAGGGGTTGACAGGTATTAATAAGGTAGACACTGATAAGGAGTTTACAGGTATGAATAAGGTAGTCACTTATAAGGAGTTGACAGGTATGAATTAGGTAGTCACTGATTAGGGGTTGACAGGTATGAATAAGGTAGTCCCTGATAAGGGGTTGACAGGTATGAATTAGGTAGTCACTGATTAGGGGTTGACAGGTATGAATTAGGTAGTCACTGATAAGGAGTTGACAGGTATTAATAAGGTAGACACTGATAAGGAGTTGATAGGTATGAATAAGGAAGACACTGATAAGGGGTTGACAGGTATGAATAAGGTAGACACTGATAAGAAGTTGACAGGTATGAATAAGGTAGACACTGATAAGGGGTTGGCAGCTATGCTGTACAGTTGAAACTGTAGTAGTTTAAATTGTGACAACAGCTATGCACGTCACTTTGTTGGACTAAATAAACTGTATTTTTTTCCTTTCATCTTGTGTGTTTATAAAAAGGAAATTTCAAATGGCAGAGAGCCCGGAGGCATCAAAAGCTGTGGATCACGGTGTTCTTGGCCAAACTTCAAGTCCAGAACCGCCCTCAGCGTCCACCGGCCACGAAAGGGGGTGAGCATCTCTTTGATTCAGAATTAGTTCTGCAGAGCGACATGTGCAATGTATAATAACAGAATCAGAATCTTTATTTTTTACTGAAGGAATCCCATGAGCTATACAGCTCGTTTTCACAGGTGTCCAGTAAGGGTGGGTACGAAAGTTGCAATAACAATACAAACATAACGATAGGAGTGCAAAGTATAGGAAAGGTAAGCGAATCACATATTTTTGTTATGAAACTAACCTATTTTTATTTTACAAGTAAAGCCCACTGAGCTATTAGTTTATTTTTCAGAAGCAACCTGGCCAAAAATGATAGCTCAAGGAAGTGGCTTATCATGTAGATATTTATAGCAGGCAAATCATCTAGATAATCTAAACGCATGTTTCTAAGTGTGGAGGGAAAAACCAGAGTCCCCGGAGAAAAAACCCAGCGACCGCAGGGAGAACAATGACACATATACATCTAAAGACTAACTGACTCTCAAGACTCCGTTTCAAAGAGGCGACTATGTTTTAATCTTCTGCCAATTCATGTTAAGCGTTAAGAGCAATTGGTATTTTCATTTATGACACTCATAAAAATCTATACTAATGGTAAAGTGATGTCAAGCACAACAATTCAAATAATTCACACAACCACTATGCACTGAATATATACATATTTGTGAATGGTACTCTTCCTGACCTTTTTTTATCTTTCAACTGAAATTAAAGTAGACAGATGTGTAGTCACAGCCCTGTCAGAATGGTCGAGATTTGGATGCGAGTAGAAGTGGGAAGTGACATTTCCCTCAGGCCGAGAGTACTTTCACTGCACATGCCGGATGCGGGCTAAAGCATAAAGGCGGTGTGAGGCAATAACTGCCTGGTAATTTGTCTGGCACTAAATGAGACAAATGCCACTTCATATTTCAACTGAAGTGTAATCATGAATTTTGAAGAAAAAAACTGCTCTCCAGGTGAAGAGGGTAGTGTGGTTTGTAATTTTAAAAAAATCTGTTGTGGGTAAAGAAGGCACGAAGGTCTGCATATAAAACATTCTGCAGGAACAGAAATGCCAGGGACTCAGTTTCTTTCCCCATATCTGTTGGGACAGTAGTCACTTCCTTTCTGTACATGTTACCGAGTTTATCTAAATAGATGTGAGTGCTTACAAGTGTTAGAAAGAAGTACGGACGTGTGATTTTTTCCCAAGTTCGGTGGTGATGACATTAAATATGTTTGTCCCTTTTGTCTTTGTGATTCGAAGAGAAATCGATGTACTACTCCCCGAGCCAACAACTCCCTTGAATGATGATGAAGAAGAGGCGTCTGTCGTATCCACAGCCACTCCTCGCGTGGCATTGGATACACCTTCCTCAACAGATCACAGCTCACCTGAGGCACTGGTAAAGCACAGCACCCAGGTGGCGTGTGTACGCACACCATAAAAGCCGCAAGATTCATTGGAAATGTGCAGTCGTGTAATCAGTTGATATAAGCATTAACGATAATCAAAAACTTACTGTGAATACCATACACAGCTTACCACACGAATTGGTTTTAACTGAATTCTCAGAAAAGATGGGAGATTACCATCCCACTGTTGACAATAGTGTATGCATATGTGACATGAAAAGGGGGACTGTTAAAACATCATTGTAAGGGGCATGGTCGAAGGAAAACGAAGAAGACAGCCCAAGATTAATCGGATGATAAATGTGCTAACATGGAGTGATAATATAATCCGACACAACCCTGACAAACACTGCGAAGGACATTTTTAAAGTGCAGAGTTGTACCCCGACGACGACTTCGGTTAAGGGATAGATGATATGTAAACACTTATAGACCCTAAAGAATTGTGATGTATGATGTGTATTTTTTTTGCAGGGTGTGTAAACTGAATTGTGTTTGGTTGGTGGTGTGGTGTGTGCCAGGTATTGGCGTGGTCCATCGGCGTGAATTCCCGAGTAGCTGTGAGGAGCCTGCAGGATGCGGAGCGCAAGGCAGTCATCTACACGTGTGGTCGGGCTGTCGTCCTCTTTGACTACGAGAAGCACACTCAGCATATCCTTCAGGTGTGCACAGAACCACATCTCAGACAACGTATTACAGTGCAACGCCGTGCTGTACTACAGACACAAATCTGAAAAGAAGCTCACATTCGATTGCATATATGCTACCTAAAATTTTTTATTTTTTTCGTTACCAGTAATTATTAAAGTCTACATTTTTATTTAGCTCTCGACTTGCTGTTTTTAATTACATTGCAGCCGTTGTTATGATAACACTATTACTATACCTTGACGTTATTTCGTCTGAAAACTAATTATTCACAATGTTATTATAAAAAAAATATTTTACCTTTCCTGTAATAGAACAATATTCCTTAATTGCTTTGTTATCTCAATGTACTATACGTCTTCTTTATATTAATTCGTGTATAGTCTACTGCTTTTGAATCTCAATCCAGTTGCCTTAAATATGAGAAATTGCATCTTTCCAGATTTTTACATGATTTACAAATACAGATTTCTGATTGTCTGGATACTGTTTATATGTTGAACTTCTTGCGTACCGTACGTAGCCAATCGTGCTAATTGGAGGTGCAGGGGAAGGACAACAAACTTAACGCAAAAACAGTTAAAAACAAATGAGTTTTCAATCTAGATTTAAAAGTGCATAGCTCCAGTGGCTTCCTAATATCGGAACGAAGAGCGTTCCAGACGGCCGCAAAAGCGCATCTGAAAGCACGGATGCAGTGACCATATGTGTGTTGGACGTGGAGGTGCTTAATTTTGTGCTGTGTTTGTCTTAACAGGGACACGCTAACACTCTATCATGCATGTGTCTGAGTGAAAACAAGCGGTGGCTTGCCACAGCAGACACTGGACCAGGAGGCACTGTGATCGTGTGGGACACATACTCTGGGTAACGGTGACTGGTTTTCACAGTAAAACCAAGCTCACATGCAAATGCTAGATTATTCTTGCACTATATGGACGACATATGCTTATAGTATTATATACACAGACACACTGCGTTTTATTTCAGTCACATGTGTATTTTCAGATTGTGGATACATAAAACAAACCTGGATGTCATATTGTTCTATGTTACCAAAAAGAAGAGCGCATTCCAGATTGTAAATTAAATTCGGATTGCATTTGAACCGGAAGAATATGTTTTGTTAAGAATATATACATTCTTGATTTGAAGCTTTCATGACTGCAGGAATCCATACTCTTTGGTTCTTTCGGTAAAGTTACGTAGGTAGAAAAAGTAATATATCACGACGTTTCGATCGCAACACAAGCAACCATCATCAGGTGTGAAACAAACACAGCAGGAGGACATTCCAGTACTTGACACTCAAATACTGTTCCGGCTGCCTTTTCCAAAATTGACAGCGTTTTTCAAAAGGGGTTTGTATTGTGCCATAAGTGGGAATCGTGCAAAGTTGAAACCTTGCGAGATGGATGCTATTTTAAATACAGTATTTAAAGTACATAAGTGACAAGTCACATGCACTAGTCATGTGGAATTTCTTTTTCAAATATGGGTGTGTATAGCATGGGGGGGGGGGGAGGAACCTGCTGCTATAAGCGTTTTTTGTTTGCAGAAAAATGCTCTGTACAGTAATATTCACTGGAATCCAAGCTGTATATGGTGGCAAGTGTATCTCACTGCAAAGTTTGTATAAATAACTGTCGAGCATAAAAACATGGCATTACTTTTGCAAAAGATGCTACTGAATGACTGTGTCATGACCTAGTTGAAATACCAGTGCAAAACTGGCTCCAGCGAAAAAACATTACTATATTCGGTAATCCGGGAAATTGATGGATAGTTGTACGGAATAGTGCGTGACTACATTGGGTATATAATTCACTGAAATATTCATGCAAATACATCACTTAATTTGTATTTGTAAGTAATCTTATTTTTTCAGTTACCCTATAAATTTGTTTTGACAGGTTTCCTAGATCAGCTGCACTTGTGGCTGTGCAACCCAGCATTAAGATCGCTCCTAGCATTCTGAATTAAGCACAATAGCTAAATGTGTGTCATTTGGGACGTGAAAGCGGCTAACAGACTCACACCCACATTTTGTAACAGAAGAACACGTTCAAACACATTCCTCAATAACACTGCCTTATATAAGGATAAATATATAGAATAGGTGACGTTTCATGCAGTGGCCCTAGCTCATAGCACATACGTGTGAAAGGGGAGTACACATGAGGTGATCTTCGAGTAAGGGATTTTATTGGCATTCCTCACTATACAACTTGCATGAGTAGGTAGTCTTCTTTCTGCATGAGCCCTGGGGAATGAGTCACCACCCCCCTTATATACCCTCAGCCCCCAGATCTTTCCAGAAAGTTCCGCTCACTCCTTTCCTGCCAAATCTCTCTTTCCTCCAGTCCTCAGCAAATCAATCCCATGCCTTCCCGGCTTTGTTCCTGCCGCCCTCTATATTTAATTAATTTGCAGTGCGCTTAACCCCAATGCGACCCAACACTACCTTTACAAATGTAAGTTGTACGGAGTGTATTTATGGGAAAAAAAAGCACTTTTGCAACACACATTAATAATATATCTGCACGTATACAGACTATATGATTTTGAGGTGTATTTGCAATCCAGCTGAAATGTCAACGTGTACTCTATGTATTCTCCCAGAATTCCGGTGCACACGTTGTTTTCATGTCATCCCGAAGAGGGTGTTGTTGCCATGACAATGAGCCCAGATGCCAGTTACATCATCACCTTGGGTACTAAAACACCCCAGGTATGCGATCATTACTGCAAGTCATAATTGGCTGTTCTGTGGGAGTGGCATTTTTTTCTCTCATACGTTGCTGCAATTGCTGTTAACATAAGTAAGATGTATTAAAGTACAGGACATGTTTATGTAATTTAGTTAATCATGGTGTGCATTAATATAACAGTATTTGGCAGCTGAGTGTCATAAAAGGAGCGTATGTCGTCGTGTGGTTGGTACATGTTTGGGGCCGTCCATAAATGACGTCACGCGATTTTGGACGATTTTTTACCCCCCCCCCCCCATCGTCACGCGGCGTCACAAAAAGTCAGACCCCCCTCAAATATGACGTCACAAAGCTCTGCCCTCCTCCCCCCAAAAAAAATCGCTTTAAACTATTGTCATTGTAGTGCATATTTAATGGGGCGCTGCACTCTGATGTTGTAGGAGAAAACATTAAAAAGTCTATTTAATTAAGTAGAACGTGTTGTCTATATTTAAAGTTGCGCATTTTGATGTGACGTCACATTTCTCAAACTCCCCCCCCCCCCCTCGTCACACATCGTCACAAATGTCTGACCCCCCCCCCTCCCTAGGTGCGTGACGTCATTTATGGACGGCCCCTTAGGCACATTGCAATTCACCCCCTCTCCCGCACGATTGAATGAATTTCCGCAATGCACGAATCAGTTATTTCTGTCAAATTTTTACTGTCTCATTCATATTGTCTCTCATTTGTTCCATCTCATCTATGCAGTATCGTTCCAGTAAAATGTACACAAAGTGCACATAAATTGTCAATACGATATTTCATTCCTACATGCACAACTTGACGCACGTAATGTGCCCATAAGAATAAATTTATTTTCTTTATTTGTTTTCTAGAGAAGAGCCCATAGAAGGTAATGTTCCAGAACTACTTCGGAAATCCATTAATGTGACCCCCTGTTACCCCTAGGGCTGCTGTTCTTTCCCGTACGCTTTGCTATCTAGATATTCCATTGCATCACAGGCAAATCAAAGTAAAATGTAATTATCAGATTTGGAATTTTGCCCAGTTGATTAAACAGCCCAATTTAATGTGAATGTACGTGTGCAGTTAACGATGCTGACACCATCAACTTGATATCCTAGTTTAATACAGCAGTGGCTGTCATGATATGAACCAGGTACCTCAGTGGTTCTGTCCCAGTGCTCTGTCCCTTGAGCCACCCAGCTACCTCAAGAATGTATTTTCATCAATTAATAATTACAGTATATCACAGAAGGTGTGCCGCGTTTTACAACGGGAACATTTCGTTTCATAATGAGGATGGTGTTTTATCGGCGTTTTAGTGTGTCTCGCTCTGAGCGTGCATCTCACAGTGGGAATGTTGTGTGTTGCAGAGGGTGTCTGTATGGCGTTGGACCATCGAATCAGATCTGCCAGTATGCTCCGTGGAATTGGATCCTGACTGGGGGTATCAGGTGAGGGCATCAGTTTAATTATAATAATACATTTAAAGCCCGGCTGCTGGATGAAGGCCTCCTCATGCCGTGTCAGTGCGGGGTTGACGTCACGGGATGTGGGGCCAGGATAAATTGGGATTTCACTTGCCACTGATGTTTAGAGTATTTGGCTGCTATAAATTTCCATGTAATAAGCCACTTCGTTGATCTATCATATGTGGCCAGGTCGCTTCTGAAATAGAGCTATATAGCTCAGTGGGTCTAACCTGGTAAAATAAAAATTGTTTAGTTTAGCTGTGAATCTAACTTGGTAAGGTTCATAGTACAGCACCGTATCCACTGCACTAATGCTGAACCAATAAGTAACATTTCTATTATCAGATGAGAGCCTGATGAGATAAGAGGCCTGATGAGACTTAGGACACCTGGGGAAAAGAATATAGTGATGTAAATGCCATATTCAAATTCAAGAATATAATCTTTTGTTTGCATGCTGAAATACTGCTGAAGCGTGACAGCATGAATACATCTCAGTAATAGAATTATATATACGTTGTCAGATAACACAGTGAGCCCTGTAAAAAAGACGTGCATATTCTGGGCGAAATTGTCAGTCAAGTCCACGAAGCATTCATAAATGTAGCAGCCATGATTCGGTGTCTTCAATCTAACCTGATAGTGACCTTACGGAGTTGACAACAGCAACAGAGATTATGCTTTTTGATGATCGGGTTATATTCATGAGTCACCAATGTGAGACTAATATGTGTGTGTGTATTTCCCTCTCAGACACATGTGACTTTCAATATCAGTGACCACCGTCATTTCATAACTAACAGTGAAACACAGGCTGTGTTTTACCAATGGGTGAGTTACACACACAAAATCTGAATCATCCCACATGTAACACATCCTGCATATCACGATCATCACTACTGGACGACAAACTGTGTTTGAGGCTATTAAAAACCGTGAAATACTCGAGAAGATTAATGGACTACAACATTTCTATTTTAATGCATGTGGTTAAGTTAAAATCTATTTCTAGTGATGGTCTTTAATGCAATGTCCGGATGGTGGTGTATCTGCTTGTGTGTTCTAGAGTGATAACAGCATAGAAATGTATACCCCTGTGCTTAATGAACAGGTAAGTTCAAACTTTTTTTGTCAATTAGTTTTTGTTATTCTAAATGTACAATAAATTAGGCTGATAAATGCTCGGAAGATTTTTTTTTTCTCTCTAAATTTTAAACCCTGTTCTTGAGAGAAAATTAGTGAATTATTAAAAAGGTTGCATGCTTCATGAACATTGGAATTAAAGAATATACACCCATGCTACTAATGTACTGTATAGCCTAAGAATAAAAAAATGGCAGTTGTCAATGTGAGCAAATCTTAAGCAACAAAAGCAACCCTTTGCATAACTCATAGATAGCACATGAAAACTCCACTTTGTTATTGAACGCTGTAAGGAGTTGTGTATAGATATGTGCAGTCATCCAGGTTACCATATTGCGTGTAGTATTTGCGACATCCTGTAGTAGTATTATACGTTGCGTACTTGTGCATAATGACAATGGTGTGTATACAATTTATAATGTGTGCTTGGTATGCGTCTGTGATATGCAGTTCACTTAGGGTGTGCCGTATGTGGTATTTGTATCTCACAGACATTTGGCCGTGCAGTGGGTTCCCTAACACACTCTGTGTTCTCACAATCGTCTGTACTTTCCGGCACGGCTACTGGTAATTTGGTGGTGTGGAGTGTGCCGGGGTGTGCACCCAACGTGCACACAGCCACACATGGTGGGGTACGGAAAGCCCTTAAACTGCTACATCTACAAGATCGACCAATCGCAACACTTGCTCTGTCTGACCAGTAAGTGGTGATATATTTACGGCAATTTGAATGCCAAAGAGTAGGACTCTAGTAAGCAGTTTGCTTTAGATAACGACACAATGAAGAGCCTGGATGAAACTCACTCAGTGCCACACCGATACGCACGAAGCGATAGGTTAGATTCCTGACTTGCTCCTCTAATATATCTTCCCTCTGCCTTTAAAGTTGCACTGCCATGTGAAACTGCACAATAGGATAAGTAAAGTATTTTATTATAAAAAATACATGTTTTGTTGTTTGTAAACCAGTTCATATTTGAAATATTTATTTATTTCGGTTAGTTGAGAGCACAGACACCTTTAATTAAGCAGCCTCATATAATAATGAGCCATGTAATACAACTCTTATTGACAGTGTGCATCCTAATAATACCCAGAGGAGCATTCAAAGCTGCGCTTGTGTCCAAATGTCTGAATTTTCACGAGTGGTGGAATGTGACCTTAAATGTTTATAGATTCCAATTTGGGAAACTGAATTTTCAGCCACCATAATGAGGATTATGCATATAAATATGACATACTATATATACTGTATGAAAAACGTAGTAGATTTTTATAATTCTGTGTCTACACAGCCATTAACAAAAACATCTTGCATGCATAATCCACTCACTTTCACACGCAGATTTGTGGTGACAGGTGACACAACCGGCACCGTTCGATATTACGACCTCCAGCTACGCCTGCTCTTCTGGCTCCAGATTCCCCATGTAAGGGTGCAGCAGGGAAGCAGGTCGGACAAAGGGCAGGAGGCCCCAGGCAGACTACCGGGGGGGACCAAGACTTCGGGGCAGGCAGCGGCCGCGGGGCACACTGTGGTGTCCGTATCTTTCTCAGCCGAACCAGGACGTCCTCAGGAAGGACAGTCACCCCCACGTGACGCCAGCCTGAAAGCAGCACCATTCGTGGCAAGGTGCGTATGTTTGCACCGAATTTCATTTCACAATCCTTTTTGTTATTTGAATGATACATTTATTTCTATGGGCCGGACGGAGGCTTCACTGGACACGAGGTTACACAATACACATGTGTAGTGACATGGAATGGGTCACTACGTAGCATAGCGCGGGTTGCTGGCAGAGAAGGGGATCTGCAGTTGCAGCAGCCCTGTCTGTCAGCAGGTCACGTGACAAGTCAGAGAGAGGGATGTAGGGGAAAGGTGATAGAGCGGGCACGTGAGGTAAGTCCGGGAACCCGCGAGTATGTTCTAGAAAGGGGGCCGGGGCGGAGCGAGGCCATGCCGGGAGGATAAAAGGGGACCCCGAGCGAAGGCTCGGGGCTGTTGCTTGGAGTGGAATCCCGACGGGCTGCTGGAGTCTTCGCCGCCGTCTTCACCTTCTCGACGTCGGCAGTCCGGCAGTCTGCCAGCTGTCCTGACTGAGAGTTGTAGTGATTATCCCTTGTAACCTGTGAAGGCTGTTAATAAATAGAGTGCCTCCTACTACTAGTGTCTCTGAGTGCGTCACTACACATGTAGCACAAGGCATAATTACTTTCTAGAGGTTACAGAATTAGGGAATATATACTAAGTATTTAAGTGCATTCAAATACATTTTCTACATGAAGACATTGTGCTTGTGTGTGTGTGTATTGCAGGGAGTTTGTAGCGAGCATGCGCGACGGTAGTGTATTCAACATAAAGCCCTACTTGTATCCCGACTTGGCTGCGAGCAAGCCTCAGAGCGGCCTTACTCTCGGGCCCTGGTGCACTGCCCTGCCGGGTGCCCTCTCTGGCTGCGTGCAAGCACTAGCAGCGCACCCTAACCGCCCGCTCGTGTGCATGGCCACTTCGCGGGGCACCGTCATCCTGTGGGACCTAGACACTCAACACGACGTGGCATCGAGAGAATTTCGCACTTCTGTCTCCAGCTTGGCATATGACCAGCCAGGTAAGTGGCCAAGCTTGTCGTGTATGCTGAGGCTTATTGGAGATCCTCTTGAAAGAAAGTCAGGTCAATTGGCTAATGGGATATTTACGTCCTAATTTGCCTGTGTATTGACTCGAAAGTGTTATATTGTGTGTCTTCGAGTATGGTTGCTCTGGCGTTAGTTTGCTTGCAAAAAGTAATTTTAGCTTCGTCAAGTAATTTTAGCTTAGTAAATGCTTCAGCAACTGAACAAGAAAACACTCTTAACAAAATGAGTAATACAATGCGTCTCATTCACGTATCCGTCCATCCACAGTTGGTAAAGTGGTGAGCACAGTTGGTGCATTTTCCAGCCATCTCAGTCGGTCAATCCATGGCACTTGGGTCTATTCCGTGACCTGCCAGCGGGCATTCGACACTTCACGTGGCCTCAAAGTGCATGTAGCATGGCACAAGCACTGTAGTGACGTCACCGCCACTTAGTGGTGAACGGCGGTCTTTGTTGTCTAACCACATGACAAAAGTAAAACAATGGAGGGACAGATGTTTGAAGGAGGCATATTGTCTGCTTGTTTATGTTTTACTTATATTCTTTATGACGACGCTCATGATTATTTTCTGTAATGAATTACTCTGAATGGCACCAGTACCAATATTACATCTGTATGTGAGATTTGTGCTGTGTATGTGCCACCACTCAGGTAATCGTGTTGCCATTGGATTTTCCGATGGGTGCACACGTGTGGTGTGTGGATTGTCCCTGGCGGACGAAACCGTGGAGCCTCTGGACTGCCAACGCCCAGAACATCATGGATCACATGCCGTGACCAGGCTGTGCTTCTCTCACGATGGACGATACCTTGCCACATCTGTAAGTCATTTACTCACGACAAATACCCCCCCCCCCCCGTATAGCCTTAAACAGTCTGTTAGGCCTTATGCTGTTTGTGAGCAACTATGAATGCCTGCACGGCACACGATGAGGTGCATTTGTCTCCCTCGTGGCAACATTTACACATTGCGCCAGGAACTATTTGAGGCTGAGCCGATCTCAGATATGCCCAAGACTGGTTCAGACAGATAATCATCACTGGTGTTGGTCACCGGATGCATAGCGCAGCACACCAACCGCTACACTACCGCTCCCCGTAAGTCATATCCATACATAAATATACACCGTGGGCTGTAGACAACAACAGCTGCTGCCGTTCGCCACTGAGTGGCATTGATGTCATCACAGCACTTGTGCCAGGCTGTGTACTTACACATCAATAATGACACAGATAACCAGCACGATACCACACCCACATTCACTCACAAATGCCACAAATTTAATATAGCTTCACTCACTATGTGATATTTACCTGCATGCACCATGCAGAACAGTCATGTGTTGTTAATGTTGCGTACATGCAAATCTCAAATTAACTGCCTCCCCATCTCTGTGCCCATTAGGACACTACTCATGCAGTGAGCGTATTTGTGACCGTGTCTGCGAGCGAGTGGCGCTTGTTGGGGAGGCAAAGAGCTCACTCGCAGGCAATCTGTGACATCGTGTTTGAAGCACATCCAGACAAACAACAGGATACTCAACAGGACATGCATTCACCTCGCCTGCTGTCACTGGGAGAGGATCGCATTCTGGTAGGGTGCGAATGAGTCATAATCTCTTGCATGTGCGTGGCGTTCTTATGAAACGCTTTAAAATGTGCCAAGGTTGTGATTATAAGCAGATGTGAAGGGTATGTATTCTCCTTGACTGACGCTACAGACCACAAGTTTTAGGCAACATAAACCCCAAGACTCCTGAGTAAAGAAAAAGAAATACTGTACGCTTGGGTTAAATGTGCGAATCATGAATTCACACCAAAATAATTGTGCAATTCCTATGTTGTGCCTGTGTATGATTCAGGTTGAATATGGCCTATCATCCAACGAAGTGTCTGTGCTACGCTTCGAGCGCGTAGAACAGTCTGCTGTGCCCCTTTGCCTGCTCTTTCACCCAGCGCTGTCTGCCGAAACCTTCCTGCTCACGGCCAACAACCAGCACAAATACAAGCTGTACAATGCCACCACGCTCATGTGCCGGTGAGCGTGCGCGCACCGAACGCACGCACCGAATCATTTTTACAACGTGCCTGTGCAAGAGTGCGCACAAAATGTTATCGTAAAAACAAAAGTGTTCATCCGCGCAGTGGAAAATCTTTTTTCTTTTTTACCAAAAAAGTGAAAGTGAAATTCAGATTTCTCGCCGTCGGGGCCAGTCATCCCAATATGTCAACTTCGGACTTCCCACAAAGTGGTGCTTGGGGATAGGAATTTGCTGGCCATATTGAAAATATTATATTAATGATCACAAAAGCATAGTGTAGAAATTTACATAAAAAAATCAACATGAAAATAATAGTACACCATATTTGTGGACTAAATCACCTTTACAGTATTGACTAAATACAGTACCAGTACTCTTAGATATAGAGGAATGGTACAGTATTGTGCATTACATCTCTTATGTTTTGTAAAAGTGTAATTTTGTATGAATGCACATGAAGTTTAAAGTTCTATGAGCGTATTTTTCCAACAGAGTGGCCAATGTTTTACAAGTCTAATTCCATTGAACAGTTGCATAATAAGTGCATTGTGAACCAAATGAGTTAGCTGCTCCTGCTATTAGGATACCCAACATTGAGTAGTATACTTGGGCAAAATTGGTACAGGGTTTTGCCATAAACCGGGAAGGTAGATCAATTGTAGAGTAGGGGATTCGCAATCTTAAGGTTGTGAGTTCCAATACTAGGTTGGGTATAACTCGGCCAATCATCCCTCTGGGGTCAATAAAATGAGATCCCCTTTTTTGGGGAAATCAATAGTTATTCACCTCCATCATAGGAACGTGGAATTCCCACCACTGGCTCTGCAGGGCGATAAACAGGAGACGAGCAGCCGATGCCTCGCATCAATATGGACATCAGCAGCATGAGTCGGTCGATGACTCGTGGTTTTGTGCTCTTTGCTTTGCAGGAAAACAACATTGGCCCCATTGCTTGGCTCCCCTCTCAAAAAAATCTGTGCTTTGCCAAACACCGACAAAGCCAACAAAGCACACTTCCTCGTGTTCATCACAAACGACTGTGTAAGGCAATGTCCAGGTAGCATGGTTTACATTGTTCACTTCTTCAAATGTGAAAGCAGTGTGTTTAGTACTTTGTTGGAATATATACGTTTGAACATGTAAGCATTGAGAGTGTAGGAAAGTTTCAATTTTGAAACAAGCATCATGAACACGGTCGATCGTTGTCATTGCTGACCAGCTGTACGCGCTCTTCTTCCCGTCCGTGATGGGTTCAGGTTGGCTTGCAGATGCTGCCGTTGGATGGCAATCCTCACCACTGGGTGGGCGTGCACTGTCACGCGATGGCCGTGGACAGCCACATGCGCGGCGCTGTAGCAGGGGGAGGAGTGCAGGACGTGGCCTGCTCACACGATGGACGCTACGTCGTGACTGCGGGAAAGGCTGATGGAGCCGTGCACGTGTGGAGAGTCAACACCATGTCCGTCGCTCGTGCACACCACTTGTGCAAACCTCCTCATGCTGTGCACAGACGCTAAATCTGCGGCTTGAACTCTGTGCGCGTGTAGATTCTTAATGCATTCATGAATGTTGCTTTGTGTGATGGCAACAGGGCAATACACACAGCATCATCCTTGGCTGGCGAGGGCATCGTGCCATTTTACAGCATGCTGGAATGTGGCAGGGAAGGAGACTTTTTCAGGGTGTGTATGTGATATTGTATGCTCGTTGAACTTCTTTCGCACCGTACGTAGCCAACCGTGCTAATCGGAGGTGCGGGGGCATTCATCCAACGTTAGATTTTAGAAACACCAGCCTCACCAAATACATGTTATTTCAAAAAGCATCTGCACAATGATTTGTGAGTTCCTCAATTCCTTTCGAATTGGTTTAGATTAAATACTGTATTAAGTTATAAAGCACCTTTCATTACGTTAAATAAAGTGTTAAATAAAGTATTCATATTATATTTACAATTGAGGCTCACTTTAAATGCCTAATAATCATTACATGACAAATCACTAAAGACTGAAAAAAATGTCAGTTTGAGAGTTGAAAAAGTTTATTTTACGATTAAATAAAAGTATTTTTTGTCTTGGGCAGCTTAGTTATCGTTGTTGACATGATACAATCTTGTAGGAGTTTCTTGATTTTCATCTTTAAGGCTGGATTACCCTTGCATGGTTCGGCTAATTGTTATGTATCACATTTTATACCTCGCGTTTTTCTTTTCCTGAGGTGACGTCATATTTTCTCTGAATGTTCCTTTTGTAACATTAACTCTGCATATCTATGGTGAACCATACTGCCACACGCTTACCGTGTAAGCGTTATAATGTGCTGTGTGGTGCAGGAGCTGGAGGACTACTTTTACTTTGCCCAGCTGCAACGTCAGGGATTGGAGACTCTAGATGTTCGGGAAGTTTCTGACCGTGTGGATCTCGCCCACGTTCCTTCCTTAATGCGGGCTCTGGGTCACTACCCAACCCAACAGGAGGTGAGACTTATCATTATTCTTCTGGTGACAGGTTGTGCTACGTCTAAAATCATCATCAGCCATGGTCATTCTACTGCTGGATGAAGCTCCCCAACCCTCCACCTCTTACTATTCACGTGCAATAGAGTACATGCTGATTATTTAGCATGTGCAGAGTGTTTTATATGCGATGAAGTTTATTCAGACATTTCTGTGAAAAATGCTGTTATCTGTGATGCACCTTTTGTGATGCACGTAGTATAGTGAAGTATGTTCTGTGTTGTCGGACGATAGGAGATACATGAATTATATATGCAGTGTGGTGTGTACGTTGTCGGTTTATGTCCGTTATATGTCGTCGTGTTTACTACCCACAGATCGAACAAATAATAAATGAGGTTCGGTTTGCACATTATGCTGAGACGGGGGAGTTTGTGACATCTCTGAATCTCCCGGAATTCCTCCGCCTATACCTGAACCACCGCCCGGTGGAAGGGCCTACGCTGCAAAGCATCCGTGATGCACTCACCACTCTGGGAGGTTCACAGGACGGGCACCTCGATCGCTCCCAACTGCTCCACGCGCTTCTCAACACAGGTGCGTGTCGCGCTTCGTCTGGTGTCCAGGGACTCGTATCATGGAGGAACTTCACTCGGATATTTGATTTAATGATACTCCAATCAGTCATTGCCAAAAAATACATGTCATACATGGGAACATGTCCAAAGTCACTTTCAAAGGGAAACAAAACATGTAAAAAATTGTGTTTTGAAGATCCTCTTTGCCAATTCTGGAAAATAACTAGATTTCTCGAGAATGGAAACCTTTTAAAAAAAAACTGTAGCTCAAACAATTGTAATATGTAGGTTTGGTACTGATATTCCACACAACACATTCTTGCTCCGAAACTCACTTATTGTGATGTCACGTTGACCTGGATAAACCAAGTTGTGCTGCAGACCTTCCTCCTCGCAAGCGTGCCACGTTGGGTGTTTGGTCTGTGCAGGAGAGCGAATGACAGAAGGGGAGTTGGCTGAGTGCTTCAGCTCTCTCATGAGCCTCAAGTCTCCACGCCAAGGAGACGAAGGGATCGGTACACGATGCACACGTCCACACTGCACAACCATTCTGCCGATGCTGAACGTTGTTTTTGCAGTTGTGTATATGTAGCGTTGTTGTACGTGACATTGTGCAACACTGTACGTACGTGTGTATGTTGAACTTTTGCGTTTTTTTGTGAATTGTGTTGTGCACCACTGCCAACGCAGCAGCGCCAAATGTTTGTCGGTTGTGTTCGTGGCCCATCCAACCTACAAATGTTTATCACTCATAATGCACATTTTATATCGTTGGCATGTTCATAGTACACAACAGTTGTATTCATATAGTGTGCGGTGCACGTAGAGCGGCAATGTATTCGGGTGACTTGCATGCCATGCATTGAATAACCCAAGTCCTGTTTTATAAACATTTCAATTCTGTGAGCTGTATAGACACAAAGTGTCAACTTGGTGTGTGTGTGTGTGTGTTTTGTCGCACAGAATCACAAGAGGTCCTTCAAATGGCATTGCCCGAAACTGTAACCCCAGAAGGATTCACAGAACAAGTCTTGGGATTTACATCACCCTGACTCTAAATGAATCCACACAATACAATAGCACCCAAATCCCAGCTTCACGCTTCACTACACCACTCAGAACCCGTCTCCAGACACCACAAATCAAATCACACCAGCTTCTGTCTACAGTGCATGGGGAATTGTGACAACATCGGATGCTAATTGAAATATGTAGACGGATATTTAGGCTATCCAATTTGTAACCACACGTGGTTTATAAATCAATTAAATACAGTGCTCTGTAAATGGAAAGCTATCTATTGTATTACTTTCAATTATGTCCTCTTCATGAGGATTGGATTAACTTAACACAAAACTGTCTGCACATTTCAACATACGTGCAAGTATCATCTCTACATCCCGAAAGTATATGTGATTGTCATGTTTATGTATACGATTAATATATTTTATGAAGACAGAGAACACATTTGTATAGAGATGATGTAATGAATACTGATTTTTGGTTAGTTAAATTCTCTGAAATTGTACTTGCCATTTGAATAAACATTTAATACGTCAAGAACGTTTATTTCTAATTTGGAGAATGCGTGTTACATTAAATTTCTGAGAGCGAATCAGGAGGCTACACAAGTAGAAACTATGGTTTATAATAACGTCATTGGGTGGAGGCAGTGGCACTATTGGTTAGCGTCCTAAGTTTGATTACCAGCCAGGCAGCCACAGCTAACATCAGTGGTGAGTGATGGCTGAACTGGTCTTGGGTTCCCCGCACATTTTACTAGCACGCACTGGCTAGCATGATATGAAGTATGTTCGAACAATTCCCTTAACCAAGATGGCAATATGAAGGATTTCATCCAGAATTGAATTATCAAAGGATCCTCATAGTTAAGTTTGTAGTTCTTGTTATAAATGTCTTTTTTATTATCAAAATTAGTTCTTTGATTGTTTTATAAACTTATGACAATTGATGTTGCCACCACTGTTTAAAATGTATAATTTGCCCATGTTTGCTTACTATTTTCTCATTCTAGCTGCATAATCATTAAACATGCGTTTTTCCATGGTAAATTCTGACCATCTTGTCTCGCTCACAGTGAGTGGTGGTTTGACTGTTTTCAGCACGTGGTACATTATCATCCCAACCATGTGCATACCACAAAGACAAAAATCCCCCCGTGTGGCCTTAACAGACTTGGAGTAAGTGTTGTTAGCGAGTAGCTTCTATGAAGGCCAGCACGGCACACAAGAGAATGAGTGGCCAGCACCACGCCCGACCGCCTTTGTCTCCCCCGTGGAAATGATTTTAGACACCGCATCAGGTACTCATTTGAGGCTGAGTCGACATAGGGAAGACCCAGAACCGATTCAGATAACACTGGTCAACACACTTTTTCTGGCATAAGGTATTCCAAAGGTTTTAAGGTAATTTTGGGGTGCTGATTCCAAATCTGGCATCAGTTTTTGTCTATCTGCAGAAGAAATATATTAAATAAATGTGGATATCTACATAAAATGATATTACAAACACACTATCCTAAACATACAGCACCATATTTATATTTTAAGAGTTAATTTCGGGTAAAATCAATGAAAATGGGGTATGCCGATAGCATAAAAATGAGATGTGATAGAGCAAATCTCAGATCAGATTTGTAATCAGCACCCTGAAATTAGTCTAAAACAGCTGCAAAAGTCCAGGCCAGAAAAAAATGTTTTTTTTTGTTGACCAGTGTATAATCGTCACCGGTGTTGGCCTTGAGTGGGAATCGAACTCGGGTCGCCGGGTTCGTTGCGTGGTCGCTCCCCATGCCCCCACGTGTACAGGCCACAAGGGGGCCCCTCCACAGACTGGGCCCCGTGCTGCTGCTCTGCGCGTCGTCGAGTGGCCGAAGGGGAGGCCGTCTCACAGCGGTCGCCACGACAGCATTTGCCTTTCCTTGCGGGTCTCAAGTCGAGTGTCTATTGATGCATCGGACGTGTGCCGATTAGTTGAGCGTTCCAAATTCAATCACCTTTTTTAAAAAAAAAAACTACAAATATGCAATCTCGAGACCGGTCAAGTTTGAGTGGTGAGCGAGGCAGAGCTATCTACATTTGTAATTGTATAGTACTCTATGAGTTTTCGGTTAGCTGCCTTCTAATGGGCCCTTTTCACAAGGGAATACACTTCCACCCGTTGCTGTTACGTGCTGCTGATCACATGGGAAATAGGCACCGACTTGGTGTACACAGCACGGTCTAATGTTTTATAACATCCAAGACTTGATTGTGGCCATGATGTAACGTCTAATGTCAAATCGACACCCGCCCCCTTGAGGCCCCATGGCACGTGGGACCGTTGAGACTTGTGAGTGTGCACAATACCGAGGTTCTCTTTGTGGCCGGCCATAAATGACGTCACGCACCTGGGGGGGGGGTTGAGAAATGTGCCGACATCAAAATGCGCAACTTTAAATAAATATAAACACGTTCTACTTAATTAAATAGACTTTTTCGTAAACGTTTTCTCCTCCATCAGAGTGCAGCGCCACATTAAATACACACTACAATGACAATAGTTTAACGCGATTTGAAGCATGTTTTATTTGGGGGGGGCCAGAGCTTTGTGACGTCATATTTGAGGGGGGAGGTTTGACTTTGTGAAGAGGGGGAGGGGGGTCAAAAATCGTCCAAAATCGCGTGACGTCATTTATGGACGGCCCCTTTGTGCAGGATGAGCAAACAGCGGCCAGGAGGAACCGGCCACGCCGCGCTGGCTCCAGGGCGTGGTCCGGAAACCACACGGGCACACAAAGCCCCTTTCCGCCGAGACCCATTGGACTTCCAAAGATGGTGATTCATAAAAAAAACAAGTATATTTCGTCTTCTTGGTTCTTTCGGTAAAGTCACGTAGAAGGAAAATAATAAAATAATACCAATTTAATTTTATTATATTATTTTATTGTTTTATTGTTATTATTTTATTATTTTACTTCTACGTGACTTTACCGAAAGAACCAAGAAGATGAATGCGTGCAGTCACGAAAGCTTTAAATCGAAAGTATATTTCGATTAAATTACCATATAATCAAATGTCAAATTTAGTTTTTTTTTCTGTTTTCGCTACCGGTATTTCCATTGACACGTGGAGCATGCCCGTGTGTGTAGTCACAATCGCAGATGGATGAGCAAAACATGGGACGGAGCCTGGAAAGGGGCACGGCCCGGCTCCTCGTAATGACTTTAACATTTCCAGCGCCTTGTTATGCTTCATGAGCCATATAAGCAGATAAGGCGCCACATGGTGTCCCTTTCACAAACACAAAACGTCTACAGCTTCCTTTTTTTGCATTCTTTGGTTTCCAAACTGTACACAACGGTCCACTAACTCTCATATCGCAGCAAACCAGTGTTGCACAGCAGGGGGTTTAAGTTCCATGGTGGCTGGGCCCTCCCCAAAAGCCCCCGCTTGCAATGTAGCATTACTCGCTGGTAACGATGACAGCCCCAATGGCTTTGCTCCTTTGCTCCCACCCTCCCGTTATGAAGGCTTTACTGTACGGGGTGCGTGCTATGTGCGGTGCCTCTAACCCCCCTTGCTCCTGCAGCCCAGACTCTGCGATGATGGTGAGCGTGGGAGCAGTGCTCGTCTCGGTCACGCCAAGTTTCTCGCGAGCTTGCGAGCTTGCTGACGACCCACCGCTGTTCGTCTCGCACTCACTTGCGAGGGCTTTCATGCCACTTCTTGCCACACTGAGAGCCCATTAATGGTGTGAAAAACAGCCGTAGTTTAACAACTTCACCGTCATCAGCATTTATGTTTACCGAGTCTATACGTTTCGTTTGCATGTGTCCTTTTTATATGCAGACTTCTTGCAAAAGTGTGTCGATAACACTGGTCAACAAAAAAAAGTTTTTTTGTCTGGCCTGGACTTTTGCAGCTGTTTTAGACTAATTTCAGGGTGCTGATTCCAAATCTGATCTCAGATTTGCTCTATCACATCTCATTTTTATGCTATCGGCATACCCCATTCTCATTGATTTTACCCGAAATTAACTCCGTCACTTATGATTGCAAGTTGTTGCGAGTCAGTGACTGCTTTAGTGTTAAAATATGGTGCTGTGTTTTTAGGATAGTGTGTTTATAATATCATTTTATGTAGATATCCACATTTATTTAATATTTTTCTTCTGCAGTTTTTATTGAAAGTGCAATATTTGATATCTCAAAAACCTGATGTGATAGACAAAAACCGATGCCAGATTTGGAATCAGCACCCCGAAATGACATTAAAACCATTGGAATACCTTATGCCAGAAAAAGTGTGTTGACCAGTGTAATGCGTGTTGCACTGCGATGACTGCAATCTTATTCCTTCCCCCCAAATAAGGATTCTCTTTGTTTCGTGTAAACTTTCCTTGGGGAGATGCGGTGGAGAAGCTTTGTGTTGTTAGCGATGCCTTTATGTCTGGTGATGCAGGTATTGATGGGGTGGGGTGTGCAAGCTCTGGTGCTGGTGGTGCTAAGTGGTGTAGGGAGCGGTGGGAATGGAGATGCAGACCAGCCAGCTGCTACCCCACCACTCACAGACTCAAATGTAATTCTAGATTTAGTAATCCCCCAGAGCCGAGACAACACAGATGCACCATTACCCTCAACCACATTTCTAGCTGAACTGTAAATAGTCAATATGTCCACCACGTATACGTACCGTGTGCTTTATTAAATGCAGTGACCTCTTGAATCGGTAAATTCTACCTGGATTTTACCAATCTGTGTCTTTTTGACATTGTCTGGGATAATGAGATCTCTTTTGGACCATTATAAATTAGTTCCCTCATCACGATACTGCCTATGCACAGCATAACTCACAAAGTGTTTGTATGTATGATTAGAGTTGAGATGTGTATTGGTTAATGATATTGCATCGTGTCGTCACGTCATCATTTGTATGGATGTGCTGCGAGTCGAGTTTAAAATGTTGCTTCACTCGCCGTCCATTACATTTGAAACTCCAGAACGCAAGCTTACATTGACACTCGCATGCTCGTGGCGATGTCCATTACACTTGGCTAACTTTGTTGTTCGCTATCGTTTTAGTTTTTTTAAGACGTTCCAAGTGCCAACATTAGCTATTTGTTTAAATCTTTACCACGTTGAAGAACCCATAAATATAAAAAAAATTATCTGTGTACTAAAACCCTTGTTTTCAAATGGGCCATGATAATCAATAAGGGCATCTGACTCATTCACTGCCGTGTCAGCTTGTAAGTGACACTTTCTCTGCCTTTGTCAAGGGTATAAATCTCGCGCGTTGAATGCTGCACACATGAGGAGGAGGAGGGCCGAGGTGCTCCCTGGGAGTCTGTCGCTAAGTTTTAGTGTTTGCTGCCCTACGTTCAGACAGAGACGCAGACCAGAGTTGAGTGAAGGGCGAGTTACTGCAGCCTGTAGCCAAAACCGTGGCATTTCTGCATTCAAAATATATGACCACTGCCATCTCCTCACACAAAGGACATTCACACACCCTGTTTAATGGGCCCACAACTGTGCCTGTTGTATAACATTATCTGTGGGCA